TGCCATACATATACGGCGATTGACTAATAAAGACAGTATCTCATCAGTTCTGTAGCTTTAAGCTTTGCGCATGAGAAATGAAGTCTTCACAGCAATTTGTAACACAAAAAAAATTGACAAGTATTGGGAGTGAATAAAATTCTTATGACTTGCCACAAAAGGTATGTCTATACCAAACAGACATGTTTCTACAACAAACAATACAAGTAAGTTCTGTTGTACTATTTCTAGTACAATACACAAAAAAAAAAAAAGGAAGAAGAAAAAAGCCACTTCCCTGTACTTACCTTGGTAAAGTAGCTATCGCAGGCTGATAGCACCTTACCAGAACCCAGTAACTATCGTTAGTTTTTGTGGAGTGAGTGTCAAACTATGTTGTATGACTCAAGCTCTTATAAAAATTCAAAAGATACAGGAAATGCCCCAAAGCAGAATCTTTTCTATTTCTTTGTCCGTCAGCAGAACGCTTTCAATAGAACAGTATGGCAATTAGGATTTTCCTTTCAGATGCAGTAATTGCCTGACCTAGATGGAGATTTCAAACCTAAGACAGATGGTAAGGCAGAACTTGCATCTCTAAAATCAGCTCAGAATGTCCTGGGCCAAGACTTTTACTACTTTCCGAGTCAGTTCCAGAAAACATCCTACTCCAATGAAGTTAACAACAAAAACCAAAGCATAAAAGATAACAGATCACTACAAACAAGAGCAACTCTTAAAATAACAGAAAACTTAAGGATGAAGAGGAATCAAGACAGCAATAGGGATTTCTCATCATTTATATCTGTCAAACCAAAGAGGCAATAAAGGATAAGCAGGTAAGACATGTTTTGCAGGATGTCACAGATTTGTAGAAACAGATGAGAAACTGACATAAGCGATTACTTGTAGTACTAATTGACTAGTCTGTAATTATTTCTTACAGGTGCCAACACTGCTAATAAGTGCCTCAAGCACATGGAGTATTTAAGAACCTACTTTAAAAAACGCGTATGGTTGTGAACTTGCTTAGCTTAAACCAGTACACATTAATTAAAACCTGTTAAACTTCCAGTTGCATTCATTGGACCAACCTAGTTAGCAACAGTAACATTCCTTTAAAGTGCCACACGCAGATGCAGTATTTATATTAAGCATTTATTTACACATTCTTATAAATAGGTGACATAATCGCCCCTCCTCCCAAGCATAAAGTCACTTCTGTGAAAAAGGCTTAAAACCCATTCACTCTTAAATGCACTATTATTCAAAGGCTGCACTAGTTTATCTTTGAGAACATACAATATTAGTAGATATTTATATAAATCACACATTCAAAATACAATTGTCTAACAAAACAAATCATGACTTTTACCAATAATTTGTGCACTTAATAGAAAACAACACTTAAGCAAAAGCAATTAAATATCTTGAGTGACAGCTAGACCATCTCAAAAGACAAACGCAACAAACATTCAGTATTATCTCATCACAAGAGTTAACTGGAGTAGGAATATTGCAAAGAACACCAGAGAAAGTTTTTGGTAACTACAGTATCCTTGAACAGAATCAGTCTGACAGTTTTTGTGAATGAACTGTGCACTTGGACTGAATGCTTAGCATTCATAGCAGAACATGCTTTGAGCCATGGAATGGCAATGCCTAATCTTTACATTGAAAGGTCTTTTCCTCCATGAAAAGGTTCTAACATCCAGACATTTGTCCATGAATATCAAGTTCAATCAAGCATGCCATTTAACTGACTGCAGCTGCATATGGAGACTGGCTAAGAGACAGCCAGTGCGTTTTACACAATCAAGGCTACTTTGCTGGCCACTACTGCTATTGGGACACAGAAAAACAAAGAACGAACGCAGAGAGAGTAGTCCGGAAGTGACTTTGTCAGCTACCTCAAGCTCAAAGACAAAAAAAAAGTATTTGCTTTTTAAAGTCAGATGCTTACTGTAACAATATTTTGTAAACATTCGAAGGATTGTGATTTGTACTTTCTCATGCATCACACCAGTTTACAATGTGTATGCAATACGCACACAACAAAAATAAAAAACGAAGCTTGTTCATTTTAGAACATAACATGAAAGGCATTTAGAAAACCACTGAGCATGACAGTTTTCATTCAGTGCATTGCAAACAAGCTGCATCCTATATATATATATATATACACACACACACAAATCATATATTTGCTGTTCCTACAATATTTAGATATGAGAGGATCTTTGTTTTCATTATGATTTTACTTATATTGCCAGAAAGTAAACAATCCTCTCACCTGCAAGCATTCATATTTGGTTCACTTTTGCTGTCTGTAAGCTGGAAATAGTTTGAAATGATTAATTTTTTAAAAAGTGTAAATCTGATTAAGTATACCGATCCATTTTTTGTCATACATTCAAACAAAATTCCGGTAAGATCCAGGTATACTAATTTTGTCAGTATAGTTTATTTGGTGAATACGCAACTTCTTCTAACAAGTAGATTTATCTACAGTGAGATCAATTTGCCGGAATAAATATAGAATGTAGGCTGGAGAAGACAAACTCTCCAGCATCCCTGTTCACAGAATTGTTTGTTTTCTTGTTGAAGATACTACGAGTCTGCAACATTTACCTAATTTATTTAATTGCTTGCCTCTTTTAGAAACGAACTAAGAATGCAAAGCCTGCCAGATAAGACAATCCAGAGCTTTTTCCTGTTGAGTAAAGGTGAGTGAGGTAAGACACTCCAGCCCAGCAAGTAAAGAAACAGAAATCAGCAGTTCACTCTCTGATCTCAAGTCTGTGGTGCTGTATTTTATGCCTTATTAAAGGCAGCACACATACGCGACGATGCAGTTCTCAAACTGAACAACTTTGTTAAGAAGTCTTTGCCTTAAATGTACAACCATGGGCAAGACCTCAGGGGAAATTAAAACCCAGAAGGGCAATTTCAAACAGAAGTCTAAGGTATATAAGAAAACACAGAAGCTTTTAGAGTGGGAATGACTTTTGCTCCGTTACATATTTTAGAAGTATTTAACACATTTACCGTCTGTTATTAACCTCTTTTCTCATTAGTAGTGACAGTAGAGCTCTGGAGAGCTAACTTTACGGCTACTTGCATTGCCACCATCTGTGTCAAAATACAAACTTTTGGCTATAGTTATTAAGCATTGCCTAAGTCTGTAGATACAATTAAGAACTGCCTAACAGTTATATAGTTTAGCTGTAATGCAAGGACCAGAATTCAAAAAAAGTTTTAGCTAACAAGACCCATTTTTAAATATTATTTTTTTAAAATATCATAGGTTGCATTTAAGAGGAGAGAAGGATAAGGTGGTGGTTACCAGACAGAAATAATCTTTGGAGAAGTCTTAAGTTCTAGCAGATTTGTACAACACGTGCAAAACTCTCATCTATGGAAACTAAAAATCAGCATTTCATTTTGATGATGCAAGTATGTGTATGGAGATATTTTCAGAGAATATATACTGCTTTAGTTGTTCTAAAACTTGGTACATACCACAATATTAAGAAATCACTTTAATATAAAAATCAACATTAAGCAAAATAAGCAGGATGAGAAAGTAATACTTGAGAATCTCAGTTTATAGTCAGATGTATAACTGCATTCTGTAAAATATTTTTCCTAGAAAAATGCTAAGCCACATAATGAAACCAGAAAGCATTAAAAAAACAAAACAAAACAAACCAACAGCTTTCAGTTTATAAAGTTACAATCTGAAGTATATTCAAAGCTCAAAATTACAGTTTTACAGAAAAGATATTTCTTCTAGGGAGTATTAGTTCAAACCATTGGAACTAGAGACCTTTTCACTGAATTTGTTTTTTCAAATATAATCACTGTGAACCTTTACATACTTACAAGGAACGAGAAGTCAACAAGAACAGTAAACTGGAAAACTTTAAACTCCTCTCACCCAAATCAAGGTTCAACACAGTTTGAAAAAAAAAAAAACTTCCATTGTATTCAAATTTAAACAACTACACCTCACAGTAATGACCACTGTATGTCTGCTATATCATCTTACCTGAAAGACGGCATGGGACCGGGAAGAGGAGGCATTTACATCTGTGGGATGCTGTGTTCTATTTTTATTTCCATAATCCAACATTTGAAGGATTTCCTCTGCCGATTTAGGCTTTAAGGGTAGAGAACAAGATAAATGCACGTTTTTTTTTTTCTTTTTCATCAACTATAGGAGATTCTACACTGATTCTAAAACACATTAACATTCATCTTCAAAAAAAATAAAGGAACTTAAAATTTTAGTTACCTAGAAATAAGAAAAATTTCCTGTTTTGGAACTGAGGCACTTCAAACAAACACTTCCAGTTAAAAAGCAATAAGGCACAAAAAGCAAGCACTTAATAACTGCAGAAATTTAAATCAGAGAATTTTTTTAGTAAAAAATTTAAACAAATCTCCAAAGGTTCTCCATAGTCAGAAAAAGTCTTATTTAAGAATGACTGACTTAATTTTTCTTGTATTAATGTATTAAACAGTGATGTACTAATTTTTTTCCCCACACGACCCAACCTTTGGGAAGTATGGTGTTCACAGTATAATTAATGGTACTGTTACCTGCTGAATCATTATCTCATGTACACAAAAGCTGGAAGCTCCATAGCATGTAACATACACTAAAAGGCTGCAAGAAAATAGGTCCACAAGAGTTGATTTTCAGATTGAAAAACTAAGTTCTGTCACTGACTTTGCCAAAGAATTGCAATGCTGGCCTGGAAAAGTCATTCAAACTGAAACTTTTCAAACGTGGTTATTTAAAAACAAAAACAATCCTGAGATGTAGACACAAGACTTGCAAAGGTGTAGAACGCTCCAAGATGGCACTGAAGGCAGTGAATTTCTTTAAGAAATGCTAAGATGTATTAGCCAAAAACCAAATCTTCCAAAACATGAAGATGAGCATCAAACCAATGGTACCCTTTCAATAATAAGGGCTGGATGCTTTAATCCATTTGTCTTCAAGAATACTAGCATTTTTTTTCCACAACATGCTTTTGAATAATTAATTAATTAGGTTCCCAAGTTACTAAGGTACTGCTAATTATTGCCAGGAAAAAAGCCCACTAGGGAATTACCAAGCTGCATACAACTTTCACAGATCAACGGGAACTTCACCATTTTCTCAAACACATTGTGAGGCTTCCTGAATTTCAATATCTATTTACATACCTGATGTAATGTTAGCCCTTGAACTACCACCCCTTTCTGGGTATCTTCACGAACAGCCAGAGGTCCCGAGTTTACCAGCAGATCACGAATTTGTTCATTGTAGACCTTTGAAAGGGAATTTTAAATCTTTTAATAAAACTATCCTACCATACTTGACAGGATTAAACTTGACTAACTGCAAACCATCACAGTCTTTTTTAATACTTCTTTAAGAAGTAACAAAGTAATAAATTCATTCTGTAGAATTTTTTGCCAAACAGCTTTCCTACACTGAGCTTGAAATATTCAATTAATTCAATCTGCATGAATTTTTTTAACCATTGAAGTGGTAGTAAGTAATCTTTATTCTTTATTTAAAAAAAAAGTTTACTCTTTTTACAAAAAAACTTCTGCAGCAAGCATGAATCCAAAGCATTTATTGTCCTCTATTACACTTCATAATCCATACTTCAGAAAGATTTCTTAATCCAAATGTACCTCTGTAAAAATTCTTAAATACCTTATTTCTTGCTCTGTGGAAGCACTTGAAATAGCACATGGCAAAGCAAACTTTTCCTTCTCTCCCCCAAATTCTAACTACTCTTCCATTAAGACTTGGAGGGGGCTAGAAATTAACAATTTTACTACTACTGCTTGACAGCAGTGCCAGGACAGCTACTTGTAAAAACAGAACTGTGATGCAAAAAAGTTGGAGAGAGGAAAGGAGAAGGTGACAACAAAGAACAAAAGGAGTATTTGTAAAGTATTTGTATCTTTACAATGCTGCATTGGCATAGCAGCTCTAATTCAAGCAGTTTTACTGTATCTTAGATAAATAAAATAAACTGAAAACTTTAAAAAACATCATCAAAAAGGGATTAGATATCATTTTGCTGTGTGATTTCACAGTGCTTATAGGATTTTATTATGAAGTCCTGAAAAGATATTTTGTACACATCAACAGATGTTCAAAGGGATGTAACTGTTCAGCAAGACATAAATCATTAGAATGTTTAGTGAATATATCAGAAAAGATTGTCCTTTTTGCACAGCCTTCTGTAAAATAGTAACAGGTGCCTCTGAATAATACCAAATTTGTGGAGCACAGTTGAGTTCCATTCCTATCAGGGACACATTTTGTAAAGTCTCAGAAAGGGCCGGGGAAGGCAAAACCAGCTTGTCTTTATTTATTAAAATATGCTTTATTAAAAGCAACATACCAAATACAGGAACTGGCTTACCTCTAAATAAGAGACAGCAACGTTGCATATTTTATCTTCTTTTATCTGATCCATGCAATTATAAAGTGCCATCATGGTTAAATACATCACTCCAGGATCTTCAGGGGAACCTAACATTGTATGAGTCTTTCCAGCTCCTGTTGCACCATATGCAAGCACTGAATTTTCACAAAAAAAAAAAACACCAAAGCAAGGAGATGTACTTTATACCAGTAAGCTAATCAGGAACACAGAATTCAAATGGACATTCACACACCTCTGTCATTCTGCTCAGCTGTTTTCATAAACTGATCAAGTTTCTTACTTAGGCTTTACCTTTTACAGTTATAATCAGAAAGCTATTTCAAAATCACATTTATTTTTGAATTTTCAGTTCAAAATTAATTCACTGGCAATTTACATGAAAATATTAATTGCTTACTCTCATAAACCTAAGCCATCACCTTATTGCAGGTAGGTATTTCATTTCCTCACAATGTTCCACTTGCCAATTAAAAACCCAAGCTCTTAAAGAGAGTTCATAAAGCAGATACCACACTCAGTGATACAACTTCTGGTTGAATAACTCTTTCCAGAGGATTCCTCTCAAAAGCATGCATATTTCAGATAAAATTCTGAAGTCTATTATAACCCTAACATGAACTCATTTTCAAAGAGAGTAGAGCTAAAAAGTCAGCCTCTCATATCTATACATTAAAACAAAATGCTTTATTTATATCTCAGCCTTTTTTAAAGCCTTTGCAGCAGTTGGGTACAATGGTAGAAACTCCGAGGAATTTAGTGACGTTTTTGAATTGAAGAAGATAAATAGCAAAGTTACCTGTGCAGTTATATCCATTTAAGAAGCCATCAATTACACTTTTGGTAGTATGCTCAAAAACTTCCAACTGGGATGAACTTTCAGCAAAGACAGCATCAAACACAAATTTAAGATCTTTCTTTTTTCTTTTATTAATATCCCTATGGGTCAGTCTTTTCCCGTGAAAGAAGCTAACTTCTTCCTCCTTTGGATCAAAGACCAATATATGCTGGTCAACAACATGAACAACTTTAGCAAAGTTGCCATCTTTTTCCTTTTGAGACTCTGGACGGACACGGACCACCACTTTCACATGATTACAGACATCTTCCTCAGCAGCAGACATAACAACGTCCCTTTTGTCCCCTTCTTCACTTCCAAGACTCTTTCAGATCAAGCAGCTGAATCTTTTCTACAATTGACAAAAAAAAGTGAAAGGCCTTATATTTCAAATATAACCTTTCAAATAGTTCACACCTTTAATCGGGACTAGTATCTTGTGCCTGTGCTGGATCTGCCCAGCCCATATTAGCCCTCTGGACTGCTACAACGATCGCACAACTTTGGAAAGCGCTGTAACTGGCCTGAAAAGGTGACTTAGCTCAGTATAGCTATAAGAAAACCGCTTATTTCAACAATTTAAACCACTAGATCATCTACCGGCTTTCCTTTATCTCAGAGCAAACTTGCAGATGAGCTACCAGGTTTCCGCGGACCAAAGCGAGTGGTTTTCTTGTCCTTCAGCAAAACGCGGAGTAGCCGCCTGCCTGCTTTCTCCGGGTTATTGGTTTAGTCGCATTGCACGTCGGTTTAAAAAGACAGTTAAAGTGGAATTCACGTTAACATAATTTGCACGTTGCATGTTCCATAGATGTGAAACCAGACTTCCCTTTAAAGGGCCATCCCTGCTGATAACCGAGGGTCGTTCACTCCTAACAGC